GGAAATAAAAGCAAAAGCAAGAAGATGACGAGGGAGGAGGGAAGTGTGGGTGGAGTGTAACCGCGACTGAGACTCCCTTAGCTCATCCAGAGATGTTAGACCATAAAACCTTCCCCTCTCGTGTCATATCGTGACGTCAGCTGCTGCCAAAAGTTCGATACCATTAAATTGAACTTTTCCATCATTTCAACGATTCAACTGAAATATTTGCAAAATTTGGACCTCAGGCCAGATCGATCTGCGGTTACCCTTTCCGGGGGCTCACGTGTTGCGCGAAGCACTTTTCATGCTCTTGCTTTGCCTTTCGCCTAGCCAGTTTTTCCTAACTCTGTCTATTAACAATAGGGAGTAAATAAATAGTCAACATTGTGATTTCGAGGAAAGCCTCAGGTTAAATGGGTTTAGCGTCGATTTGTACTCTCCAGATCAATCCGTTGATGGGTGATTGCTGGTGGCAGCGCTACGTAGAAAAATGACTGAGAGAAAGGCAGAACGAGGGCCTCAGTGGGGCTGCGCGTAAAATGTGGTCTCCCGGAAAAGGTAATCGGAGTTCAATCTGGCCTAAGTTCCACGTTTTGCAAATATCTCAGTGTCATAGTGGCTGTATTTCACATTATACCCTGCCGCGAAGAATAATAATAGGCACCGACAGTCTTAACCTTTTTATATATTATCCATTATAATTTTTCACGGCAAGGCATCATGTGAAGTACAACCAAAATGATGCTGAAATATTTGCAAAACTCCGGACCGCAGGTGTATGCGGTGGGGAACGAACGCTCTATTGTCCTTTCTGGAGAGTAGCGCGTTCACCACAACACCACGCGGGTCCTTCGTTTCGCCTGTCTCTCAGCTAGTTCTATCGATCTTTTGCCATCACCAATCACCCGTCAACGGGATTAATCTGGGGAGCCCAAATTTGCATTGAACCCAGTTAAGCTGAGGCTTAGTTATAATCGCAATGTTAACCCTTTTATCTACTGCTTAGCTGAGAGACAGGCGAGACGAAGGACCCGCGTGGTGTGGTAGTGAACGCGCTACTCCCCGGAAAGGACAATAGCGCGTTCGCTTCCCACCACATACACCTGCGGTCCGGAGTTTTGCAAATATCTCAGCATCATTGAAGTTACTATTAGAACAATTTGCAGCACTACTACTTTTCTGGTAGTCTTCAAATATTCTTAGGTAGTCGTTTAGATTATCTGTGGTCTTTTGTTCTAACATAAATGAAAAGGTATATTTAGAAAGTAGAGGAAGGAATTTTGTTCGAATAAAGTCTGGTAACTTATTACTCTAAATTCTTAATCTTCTTATTATTTTTATTATTACTATATTTATTATTCAATGGTGGTGAACGCGCCACTCACCGGAAAGGGCATTAGCGCGTTCGTTCACCACCGCATACACCTGCGGTCTGGAGTTTTGCAAATATCTGAGCATCACTGAAGTTATATTTCGCAATGTAAACCCTGCCGTTGAAAAGAGTAGGCAGTAAATAACAAGTTAAAATTTATTATTTAATGTTAGTAAGGTTACGAGGGAGGATGTTTGTATTTCAGATCGAGACTGAGTCGGATCGACAACGATTGCGATTGTGAAAAGATGAAGAAGATGGGACAATTCTATGAAATTTCACAGTGAGGACGTAATATTGAATAGCAACACCTCAACAAAACTGGCCCGTGATTGCATACAGTCATGGCGGAAATCTTCGAAAAGAAGAAGAAGCGTGCTTAAGACGTAAACGACTTTAAGAAAACTATATGATTATTTTTCTTCTCTCTAACTGTTGACAGTAATGGAGCAGAGATAACCTACTGTACGGTTTTTGCATCAATTGTTACGACTTCTCGTGCGTAATTCTTTCTAGTAGTTAATAAACACTTTATTATACAGTTATTCAATAGAAGAAAATGTCGACAACGATTGTTCCACATAGCACCGGATACAGTGGCAACGTAGAGGTTTACTGATCTTTTCGCGACAACGCTGGATTTTTGAATAATAACACCTATTTCTTAATTAATGAAGTGTTTGAAGAGCTCAGAGCTCCATAGACTTTTAGAAAAGAGTCTACTCTATTCTTTTTATTTCTTCCTTTTATAATTTTTAACTAGGAGGAGGAAATCGCAGTGGTAGTGATGCCGATCATCAAGAGTACGGTTCTGGTGCAGCCACGCCTCTGACTCACCAAGCCTCTAACCCTTCCAGGGTTGGAAGATTCTCATTAGACTTGTCTGGGAGAAGCTCACTCCATGCAATCGAAGGCGGAATTTTCAAGCATCATCCAAATCCACATGCAAAAGTTCGAAAAAGGCCTTCGTGTATGACGGATTCCAAGAAAACGAATCGAGTGCAAGAAGTGCTGGGATCCGCAGGTGTGGAAGATAGGCCATGTAAAAGGAGATAGCTTATAACGTTGTAATTTTGTGAAAAAAACATCATCTAAAATGTATAACTTTACAATTCATAGTGTAATACAGTGTTATATGATGTCATATTCAGCTATTTACAAGTCCTTGTATTCTTCCGAAAATTTTCTTAAGACCACAACTTTCAGAAAACGGTGGCGAAACTTAAAGTTTTAAATTTTCCAAGAGAAGGCTAGTAGCTGCCAACATAAGCGAAACATTGGGGAACAGCACTGTGCTATGCTTGTTCATTTGCGTTCATATTTAAAATATGTACCAATAAACAATGAACGAGAAGAAGTATATCCACGTTGGCGAAACGGGTTTGCGTCCACTCTGGGCCCATTTAAAAGAACACTATAAATTTAAACTGGAACCAAACACTCCACTAGGCCCTCATAGGACACGAAAGCTTAACCAGGTAGATTTTGTCCTCGCACTGAAATCCAGGACATCAGCGCGTGAAACTTCTGAGGCGTTTTGGATTAACTCCAAAAATCCAAAAATAAACCAAAAGGAGAGGTGTCTTGTGATCACGCGTGACCTAGGTTCATATTTCAGGCCGATTCTGTGACCTGACACTGGCACATTCCTCGCTCATGTCTACAGTCCGTGCGGCTGGCCTCCACCAAATAACTGCAAGGTCAAGAATGAACAAAACGGACGGTAAGTCCTATAGAGGTCTCCTCATCGTGTAAGAGTTAAATTCAATTATTCCTCGTTTGTACCACTTGACCATCATGTGTTCGAATCCGCTTCCTGAAGTAACAAAACCCACCATCGTTCCTAGGTTGATGAATTGTTACCAGACTCCTCTGCGATGCGAGGAACACTGGATTGCTACATTAGTAAGCAATTGAAATTTGTTGTACAAGCTGAATGTTTATTCAAAGACTTCTCTGGCGTTTCGAATAGAGTGGAATGCATTAGCCGAAAATGGTCGATTGAATCTATGTCGAGTACTTTATCCTTTGTTATTGCTCTGTCCTATCCCTATCTTCGCGACAACGTCCATCTTGCTTTGGTGCAGCGTAGGGCGACGCCTGCTTTCAGCCGTCGTAGATCTGCAAATTTTTCTGTAATAGAAGAGTTTTTCGATTAGTGGAGAACTGAAGAGACTGACATCATGAGAAACTATAGAGCAGGTTTTGCTCTATCGCTTAGTATGAAGGCTATGCTTGGAATTATTTGCTAACTGTTCCTATGCTCCGTCATAGAAGCTTCTGTTGAGTCCATTTCTGCACTTTTTTATCTACCAATTCCATATGATAGCTACGGTTCATTATAGCGATTAAAATTGAAATAGCACCAACTGATTCTGAAATTACCATTAATGAGCTTATTCGGAAAAAAAGGCTCTTGGATATTTTAAAATGCAGAATAGAGCTTTTACTGGTCGACGCTCCTTCATTATCTAAGATGAATAGGCTATCGATAGATTAGGAGAAGAGTGCGGAGAGGTGTTTTGAGTGCGAAAGCAAGCCACTAGAAAGAAAATGACCTCTATGCAGGTCACATCGGCCACAGCGCTCCTTTACTTATGATTACTGCAGAGTTGACGTTGTCACGAAAGAATCACTTCCAGTAATCATTGAATGACTCCAGCAGATGTTTGGAAAATCTGCACTCGTTCCGACGAGCGGTTTTGTTGGTTGCACTTGCTTGAAGCGATATTAGTGCCACTCTTTTGATATATGATACACCTTCCCTAATCATTTCTATAAGAAGCTTGGCACGGATAGAAGAACATTTATTACAGTCACAATAGCTCGGCACACAGGAACACCTTAAGCACTATAAGGCAGCAAGTCACTGAGAGGACAAGTGAAGGTCAATGTATAGTAGGTTTGACTTGAATCCCTTGACATGAAAACCAAAGTAAGATGGATGATATCGATATCGTTTGGTAGAATATGTCCAAGATCTGAACAAGAAGTCGCCAAAACATCAGCCACTGGATCACGTCAAAAACAATAATTGACACCAACCTCACGTCAGTTCAACAAAGGCGATTCTAAGAGTATATACATATATATGGCAGCACTGCCACTCATACGTGGAATCGATCACCGCGCCCATGTCCCGCTAAGGCTTCCATCCCTCCGGGGTCGGCAAATTGGTAGACTTCTGTGGAAGGATAGCAGCATTGGCTCTATACATCAGTAGGCCACCACGAGTCATTGTAAAGACCAGAGTGAAGTCGAATGCAAGGCGCATCCCTCAGGGATTGATCTATGCCGAGAACTTTACCCATTATCCTTTATATACGTATATCAATTACTAGTGCCGAGATTTACAGAAAGCCGGCGTTTAAACTTATTACGAAATGTATTAGAAGCACATTTACGACTTGTAAGAGACGTATTGTTATAGTAAGATCTTTTTAACCAAGATTGTCTTCGCTTGAAACGACAGCATTGGGCAGGACGAGCACAGAGATGCAGCTGAAATCTAATGACCATTCCAGGCTACTCAGATCGGAAAAAACTAAGGTGAAGATATGTGAGAGTAAGAAGACCCACAATGCACACACATTTGTAACTGAGCACTAGACAAAGGACTTGATCATGAAGGCAAGAAGGGTAAGGTATGACGTCATCGGACTGGCTAAGACGAGAAGACGCCTCCTATTCAACACCGCCTATGATAGTGGAGAAGAGCTGCTCCTTGGAACATGCGAGTGTAGAGGAATCGGCGGAATCGGCGTTCTCGCCATCCAACACGAGTTTGGCGTCCAGCATCGGTTCATTTGAACAACTGATAATTCGAATCGGACGTTTACTGCTGAAAAGGTGATGATCAATCCCTGCTTTGATAAGCTCCGTCGTCTACGCACCGACATCATGCTATGACGAAGACAAAGTCAATACGTTCTATATGATCTTAGAAGAGTTTTGCGGAAAAGGCCATACATCTTTTAAGGTAATTACTGGAGGAGCGCGTGTAACGGAGTGGTCGGAGACGCCCTCCAACACACGTGGAATCGAGCTCTGCGCCCATTGCCCACCGAGCCTTCAGTTTCTCCAGGGTCGGCAAATTGGTAGCAGACATGTCTGGGAGGACAGAGCAGCGGTTCGATACATCGGTAGGCCACCGCGAGCCATTGTAAAGGTCAGATATGCATTCAATCACCTCCAATGATTCGTAATTAAGTAATTAAATTCGTAATTAAGTCGAATTCATGACGCATACCTTTGAGATTGATCAACGCCGAGAGCTTTGTTCCTTTATCCTTTAATCATTGGAGACTTTAACGCTGTGATTGGATCTAGAAGAGAGTCTGAAGAACGTCACACTGGGACCAGCGCATTAGAATGGAACGATCAGAGAGAGTAGAGTATCTATCTGAGTAAATCATGATGGCGAAAACCATTCATGGTAACTTGTTCAAGAAGGTGACCTACACGATGACGGCAATTACCGCCTAATCTGGTTGCTGTCTGCGTCTATGAATTATTCATTCGAGTGATGCTAGGCAGGAATGAGAGAAAATTGGAATAAGGACTGCCAAGTGAGCTAGCAGGGATTCGAAAAAGATTCAATACAGTGGAAAACATCGACGTGATAACAAGACTGAACGAAGTATCGCCAGAACAAAAGAAACCGATGTCTCTCAGTTCCTTCAATTAAAGAAAGCTTCAGACTCAGTTGAGATAGAAGCAGTCACAGAAGCCCTGGACAATCAGGGAGTTTCTACTAAGTATATGGAGATTCTTCACCAGCCACATAAAAATTTTACAACAGAAATGTCGCCATCCTATAACGATATTAATATTGACGTCAAAATAGGGGTTAGGAAGACGATAGCTTTTCGCCAAAATTATTTACCGCCACTCTCGAGTACGTCGTGCGAACACTGGAATTGGCCAACATGGGAGTGAAAATCGACGGTCGGCAGTTACACCATCTTCGCTTTGTTGATGACATCGTCCTTATAACAGCAAACATTAGCCAAGCAGAACGAATGCTGGCCGACTGATGATCATAGTTCTTCAAGAAAACCCTAGGAAAAAGCGATTGTGCTTAGTGGATCCTTACAGCGAGCAGAACCTACTTGGCTACTTTTGCAAGCGACAAGGAGAAGTGGAAAGCATACAAGTGCCCGCTCGGGTCACTTGAAGATAACGGGACGACAGATGTTTGGTGTTACTAGATGACTTTTAAAGCAAGTTTTTCCTGCTTGAAATGCTTTCACTCATCTAATCCGGTTAATATTATTCTTTCGACAAATGACGCGTGTAATTCAAATACATGCCCGCAAGTGAAAAAGAAAAGTCTGTTAGGAAATGCTAGGGAGTCGACTGTTTAATTTTATTCTTCCCACAAATAGTACATGCAATTAAAGTGTAAACTCGCATACCAGAATGGAAAGTGTGTAGAGAAACCACAGGAATAACGGAAGCATATAGAACTTGTATAGATCTTATCGAATAGATGTCCAAAAATCACTAACACGACAGCAAATAAGCAAACTACAAAATGGATAAAGAATCATAATCTCTCAGCAAACACCAAAATTTACTTCGTAAGTGGAATTCAGCAGTGCTCAAGCTTTCTTTTTCTGTGCTGCTCTCTTGCTTTTCGCCGGCAACCGGACATCATTCTGAAGATCCCAGCACTTCTTTCAAATGATTGCTTTCGTGCATCCATATTCCACGGTCTTTGTATTCGTGTGTGAGTTTGGTTGCGGCTTGGCAGATTTTTGGTCTTCCAAATGTCGTTGAATGTTAATAGAGCAGATTATACACGGATTTCGGGGATGGCCGTTCTAAGACGCTCAAAGGTCTTCATGACAGGCATTCACCTTCCTTCTTGGATTAGAGGGAACTTTCCAGACATGTCAAGAACCAATTTCCGGATCTCGAAAGCGTGGTTGGGAGGAAGTCGTGGGTATATTGTTGATATAGTATAGGATCGAATCAGAACCTTTCGCATGTTGAACGGCTTCACTACCACTGTACTATCCATCCTCATAAACATACATTCTATTCTTATCACAGACGAAAGGGATTAATGGACCACCAGAATGCTGCCGATATTCTTTTGCCAATGGTTATTGGACGAGTTTCACAAATTTAATTAATTTGGAAATGCTCAAAATGCAATCACATTAATGTAACACTCAACTGTAGACTAAAAAACTGGCCGACTGGAGGGCAAAACAAGAGCCGCAGTTGGTGTGGTGGATAGCACGTAGTAGCCCCTGTATTATACCTAAGTGTTTCTTTTTTGCAATTAGTGACAAAGACAAATGTGAAATGTTTCCAGATAATTTCATAGACTGTTACCATCTAATGGAATATGAATCCAATCAACACTTGTACGAGTTTTGATTTATCTTCACTATTGATGAATTAAAACTTAATTCCGGATCGTTACTCTATAGATTAGAATGGCAAATAGAAAACTAACTAAAATGACAAAAAAAGCCAAGTAGTAAAAATATCTTGGTTCATTACCTCTCCTCTCACCCCTCTCACACGAAAAGGGCGCTTATAAGAAACATGTTTCGGACAGCAACCAACGTGTGCACGGGAAGAGAGCAGAGAGAGGAGTCCCGGAACTTGGCACGGCAAATAGCCGTTTCTAATGGCTACGAAACTGTAGCTCAGGATAGGTGTAGAGGAAATCGTAGGCCTCCAAACGACAACTCTAGCGATAGAAGGGTCCCGTTTATCCTACCCTTCATCTCAAATGATATAAGTACAGCTATAAAACGCTGCTTAAGAAGGGCGGGCTTAGAGAATTCGGTGAGCGTAGTTGAAATACCACCGAGTAATCTTAAGCGCCAGCTAGTTCGTAACCGCCTATATGACCGTCTATGTGCAACTCAAAATTGCATAATTTGCCCCAGTGGTAGAGACGGTGATTGCATGAGCTCGGGTATAGTTTATCTGATCTCCTGTAAGACGTGTGGTGACGAATACATTGGCGAAACGGGTAGACCCCTCTGTGTCCGCATGAAAGAACACCTAGCCGGCAAAAATAGACCAAATACCCCGCTAGGCACGCATAGGACCCAGAGACATAACGGGGACGACTTCGAAGTATGTGTCACGATCCTCGCACGCGAATCGAGAACACAGGCGCGAAAAACTCTCGAGGCACTCTGGATTAATTCCAGAAATCCGAAAATGAACCGCAGGGAAGAATGCCTCATTATCACGCGTGATATAGGGCAGTATATAAAACTGCTTTTCTGATGTGAGGGGCACATTATACTTCCACGTGATTTCTGTGCGGTTGGTCTCTACGTGACATACTTAGTGGAAACCTCATAGAAAGTGGTGAGTGTGCAAAGCTGTGTTCAAAGTGATTGAAATCTTGGTTTGGGGTTTCTTTGTTTGGTTATGGAGGCGTCTGGCCGAGTGAGTTGCTATCAACTTGACCTTTCCAGGCTCTGAAGAAGGCGAAATTCGCCGAAACGTCAGCTTAATCGTGAACAAAGAACAATAACACCTCGCGTTTGCTCAAAAAAATACGAATAAAATGACAAACTAAAATGGTAAATAGCCATTTTAATGGCTACGAAACTGCAGCTCGGGATAGGTGTAGAGGAAACCACAGGCCCTCCAACGATAACTCTAGCGGCAATAAGGTCCCGTTTATACTGACGTTCATTTCAAATGAAGTAAGTGCGGCTATAAAACGCTGTTTAGGAAGGGCCGGTCTAGAGAATTTGGTAACGATAACTGAAATACCACCGAGTAATCTAAGATGCTAAATAGTTCGTAATCGCCTATACGACCGTCTATGTGCAACGCAAAATTGCATAATTTTCCCTAATGGTAGAGACGATGATTGCATGAGCTCGGATATAGTTTATCTGATCTCCTGTAAGGCGTGCGGGGACGAATATGTTGGCGAAATGGGTACACCACTCTGCGTTCGTATAAAAGAACACTTAGTCGGCAAACGTAAACCAAGTACTCCACTAGGCACGCATAGGACGCAGGACATAACGGGGAGGACTTTGAAGCACGTGTTACGATCCTCGCACAAGAATCGAGAACACAAACGCACAAAACTCTAGAGGCATTCTGGATTAATTCCAAGAATCCGAAAATGAACCGCAGGGAGGAATGCCTCATTATCACGCGTGATGTTGGGCAGTATATAAGCCTGTTATTTTGATGAGATGGGCACAATACGATTCCGTATGAACTCTGTGCGGTTGGTCTCCACGTGACATATTTAGTGGAAGACTCACAGAATGAGGTGAGTGTGCAAAGACTCTGTGTTCAATGTGATTGAAATTTTGGTTCAGCACTTTCTCTGTTTGGTTATGGAGATGTTTAGTCGCGTACATTAAAGTGAACCTGACTTTTCCAGGCCCCGAGGAAGGCGAAATCAGCCAAAACGTCAGCATGTACGTAAATAAAGAAATAAAATAACACCTTCTGTTTACTAAACAGAAGTAGAAAGAACTATAAATCAGAGTTTGGACAGCCTTTATTTTGCGCTACTAGATTTAGCCGGAAAACACAGGCTTTTGTTCCAAAACTCTTGGAGCAGAAAGCTGAGTACACGACTGTCTTATAAAGCTCTCCCAAATAACAAGAAATGACCCTTGCGTATAGTAGGTAACATTGTACCGCCTACTATGTGCATCCGAGTGCACCATGTGCACCATGTGGTGCCATGTGTGAGTGTATCACGTGCGTGTGAGACCATGTGCATCAGAGTTTGCAAGCATTTAGATATACCCACTCCCTTTGAATTAGAACCGTACCTGCACGGATGATCACCCAGCCACGAGTATGTGGAGGGTGCAAGTCCACGCACCATAGCTGGGAAAGGGATCTCATCACTCGAGTCTAATTCTACCTCAGGGGATATCCCGCACATATTTAATATAAAGGGCACTTCTCTTCCACCATACGAACGTGCTCTATCTGTAACCTCATGATTGGCAGGTTGAAGGCCATCTACAGCACGGATATCAGTAGAGCATTCCAAAAACCTACGACAAAATGTACTAGACAATCCAGCACTTTCACTTTGCTGCAAAAAATCCCTGTCTCTGAAATTTGAACAGGACCATCACACCACCTCCTAACGGTTAGCGCCTCATCGCCGCTGTAAGGTGTTCCTGGGCGTCAGGTTGCGATATACAACTGAGGACTCATCTCTCTAACAGGGTTTCCCAAGCTTAGAGGGAGTCCGGCTTTTCTATCAGGAAACGCAGATACTATCGCCTGTATCACCTGTAGTCCCACTGATCGTCGAGTGACTCGAGCGGGCGCCAGAAATTCTTGCATTTTTCTCTGTCGCGTGCAAGAGTAGTCCAGTGGGTTCTGCTCGCACTAGGGACTCGTCGAGCATCATATCTTTCTTCTAGGGTCTTCGTGAAGAACTCTGGCCATCTGGTGAGTGGTCTTCCTGCAGTGCGCTTAAAATCCCGAGGGATTCAGTCACTAACGACTCTTGTCTATCGGTTGTAATTCACACGCATTGCTTGTCCGGCCCACCTAATCTTCGACTGTTTGGCGCACAAAACGGAATCTTTAATTTTTGATCGCTGATGCAGGTCGGAGCTTCGGATCCCATCCTTTGTGTGGAACGGGATACTCGTAGCATCGTCATTTCGACTGCGCGTTCGATAACGCCGAGTGTCCTTTCATCCTGCTTACGCAGCGATCAGGTTTCTGACGCATACGTTAGGGCAGGAAGTACCGTTGAGTGGAAAAAGTAGGCACGGAGTCGGGTGTTCTGCGAAATTGGGGGCTCCTTAGGGGCCACGGGAATGACGCTTGTTTTTTTTTTACTGTGTTTAGCATTTTTAATACCCACACATAGCTTGCTGGGCTCTGAACGTGAGGGCTGGGTATAATCACGGGTAACTTCCTAGGCTCTACCAGAGTGGACATGGACCTTACTTGCTCGAGGCGACTCCTAACCCCTTCTATGTACTCCCCTGTCACGTGATTGCAGACTTTCGGCGGAATTGACTCCTAAAATACAATCCGCATAAGCGAGAACGCACCTACACATGCATGAATACGCCTAGCGAATACAGAAAGTGTGTGTCAAATCGGCGCAGTGGAAACAGGGAGTCCATCACTTGGATCCACCTGCGTCCCAGAGAAGCAAAGGTCGCTTTTGGTCCGCGATGAACCCCTATCCGCCACCTGGGAACGCACCACGTAGCCTCGCGACTAACCGGCTTAAGATTCCTAATATGAGGGAGAACCGTGGACGCAGATACTAGTAAACTAAAACCAGGATCCACCACCGTCTAGGACAGCGACTGACTCTGGTGGTGACGACCTGGGGCAGACTTTGGCCTGGCTAAACTCGGGACGCCAGAGAAGCACAATGGCTAGACCAGTAACACTCCGAAACAACGCAAATTACGCTGGAGCCTGCACAACCAGAGAAGACAGGTCATCCACGTATCCGAGCAAGTACTATCAGACCAAATTTGATGGCATAAGCTGCATTTAGAAACTTTACCTGCTTGGTTAAACGGATATTTTATTCATTTAAAAGCATCTTGCGAAGTGTCATACTAGTTCTATTAAGTTGCTATCTCGCAGGATGAGAAAGTTTGTTCTTTTTTCTCGTGGAACCCTAAGACTGTCACAACATGTTTTTGAACGAAGGAGTTCGCACACGCTTGTGTAACGGTTCCAGAACTGCGCTGTGAAACCAGTCTTCTACCAGAGCAGTTTCAATGCGTAGACATACTTAGTTGTAGTAGAGTTTGCAGATGGAAACTGAGCTATTTACTATTTTGTATAATTATTGCTTTATGATGAAATCTCGGATTTACGTCAAGGCATGATAACTGTGGAAACCTCTTGTAGTGAAGGAGAGGTAAACAGCAAACAACTGACCTTAACAAACTCTACTGGAGGGTTTTTAGGAACTCCGTGGATGCTTCATCTGACTTGAGCTTCTCAGGTATTGTAAATTATAGCCATTTCAAATAAAATTACGTATCGAGTATGTGCGTTGTGCAGTGACGGACCTTGGCGCAAGTGCAGTGCGATTTCAAACGGGTGCAATCGTGACGTTTACATTTTGGATCGTCCGTGAGGGTGTTTCACTTTGATCATTTTTCTTACCAGTACAAGCTATTAGTCGACTCTTTTAGCTCACACTAAGTCTTTGTTATGTCTCTTTTTTATCGTGACCTGTTAAGAATGCTTAAGATGTTTCAGGATGCGCGTCGAAAACGACAACTTGGAGGGTGTTGCTGATCAAGCTCTATCTCTTCTTACAGAAATGAAAAGAAATCCCGACGTGATGCCTCCATACAATGTGTGCTAGTTTTTATCTTACTGTCTTATTACTGCTATTTATGTTTTGTTAAGGAAGCAGTCATGAGGGCCTGTATTGCGAAAATGAACGAGCTCTATAGTCAGAATAACGAATGCGTGTGAGTTTCTTTTCAAGCAATCTTTAATCTTCTCTAGGCCTCCTTTGCTTAAATTCTGTGCGGACCATCAACTTTAGACAACTTAGAATCTCCGACAGGTCTTCCACACTCATGACTTCTGCTTTCACTGTGCTCTTGAATCCTTTACAGTGATTCTATTCCTGATTCCCTAACGATAACGACTTTCAGTACACGATTGAGATCAGAAGGTGAACGAGCAAGTCGTGAGCTTGAAGCATTAATGATATGTCGGAATGAAGCTCTACAGCACATACGAGTATGTTAGCCTTGTTTGTTTTCCCCTACCGTGAATGTTCGAACATTTCTGTTCTTTTCTTCTCTTTTTTTTCTATTGAAGGCAACCGCCTTTGCTTTTATCAACTTCACATGGTATATACAACGGTTTACCACCTCATCGTGGCTGAGAGGTGTTCCTAGGTGTCAGGGTGTGATGTACAGCGGGGAATTCATCCCCCGGTAGTGTCTCCTAAGCTGAGAAAGAATTCGGCGTTTCCATTAGGATGCCCAGCTAAGAGTAAACCAAGACCAGAATCAGTCATCGTACTGGCATCAAACTGGTCGCAAATCGTTTTCTGGTCCACAACGGCAGCGACTGTATGAGGCGGTGACGACCTGAGGCATTATTTGGCCTGACGGACCTCGGGACTCCAGGGAACTACAGTGACTAAGCCATCAAAACTCCGAGAAAACGAAAATTATGCTCGAACCTGCACAGTCAATGAAGAGTGATTAAGTATACATAGAAAGGAGCCCAGGAAGAGTGAAGAAATGCTAGTAAATGCTATCTTTATTATTGGAAAACAGTTGCACGATGAAAAACTTTTCTTAGTCCGGAAGGACTAGGGAGTACTTATAGCGATAACCGCAGACGGTACTACTACGAGTTCTCCGATAGCCGATAGTATCTAAGCAAAAATCTTTCCAAACTAGAAGTTAGTAGTTATAAAGAAACTCTGCTGGGCATGAATGTTTCTTCGTAGGAACAGGTTATTTTGGTAGAAATTGGTAGCTATAAAACCGTTGTTTCGCAAACGATGCGATTAATGACTTTTTTGAAACGTGAAGTATTTTTTCACTGTGTTTGATTATTTCAAAGCGAAACGAAGGACCCGCATGGTACGGTGGTGAACGCGGTTAGCCCCCGGAAAGGGTAATATCGTATTCGATCACCGCCGCTGACACCTGCGGGCCGAAGTTTTGCAAATCTGTGAGCATCACTGTAGTTGTATCTTTTCGTTCTGAGATGGGCATTATCTGAATGTATTTGTTTCAGAGGTGTTGTTTGGCTTATATTCATGCTCGGGCCGAAAGAATACGTTCATATCGTTGGCGTTTAGGTGGTGTGCTTCCAGCATCCATTAAGGTTTACCTTTCTTTCTTAACTTACTGGATTCATTACCTTTGGCTTATTATGTTTTTTCGTAGAATAACCTGTGTGAGGCAGAAATAGAGTTCTTCAATGAGTACTGCAGCTGTTTGGCCGAATTTCAAGCTGGTATCGGTGAAAATGGCGTTAATCTTTTGTTAAGTACACATCCACCTAAAGCACTGTATGTTCAGGTTGGTTAAATTTCTAACATATTATTTTGCCGCAATATTTCGAACTTTTGAATTGCTGTTTGGTATCACTCAATCAAGGGCGCGTGTAACACAGTGGTAAGAAGCGCCCGGTAATACACATGGGTCCGAACCCGAACCCCAGGTCCCCTAAGATCTATATTCCTCCAGAGTTGGCAAATTGGTACCAGACTTGTCTAGGAGGATAGCAGTACCGACTTGACACATCGGTAGGCCACTGCGAGTCATTGTAAAGGTCAGATATGTATTCGATCACCTCCAAACGGTGCTTAATAAACTCGAATGCATAGCATTTCCTTCAGGAAGTGATTACCACCGAGAGCCTTAACCACTTCCGACATGAGTTACCGTGCAGTGGAAGCATTATATTTACATTCCTGTCCTTAATCGTGAAGTGGCTTGTTGTGATTTGAATTCCTTTTATATTGTACTTGACGGACACTGCTTCCAATTTTTGCTTACATTCTAAGCAACAGACAATCAGCAGCTCAGTACTTTTATTCTACGAGCTGAAATTTTTGCTTTGTAATAGAAAGGGTGTTGTAGCAGTGACGCCACATGTTCATTTTTCTGAATTAGCTAGATGACCAATAGAGTGTCTTTTTTTTCAGTTGTAGCAATCCTCCACTAAAAAAAGATGCTGGCTCGAAATGGAAATGCATTGTCAGTTCGTGCACCAGCAGACGACATTCATTTGTTTGTCCTTCTCTTGAAGTCATCTTTTTAAACATACAGCTCTACTTTTGACGCAGTGATAACTAGTTTTTTTGGCTTTCCCTCTGACAACTTTTTTTTCGTTGCACATGACACGAAAGGATATTTGAATACATAATGTCCTGCAAGTGTCAGCAGAATTGACAAACATGGAATGCAAAGGATATACCCGGCATTTCTTAAGGGGTGGAGTAGCTTGTATAGTATAATTGAAAGTTTGGTTGGACTAGCAATTTCTATTGCTGTGATAACTTTCTGATACTTTATTACAGAACGGTGTTCATATTACATGCTGCAAACTAAGCCATAATGTTTAAGAGTTTCTTGAGCTGAACACATGTGTATTCCTTCATTGGTAAACTAACGCGAATTTGATAAAATACTTTCTTCGGCCAATGCTTCGGGCCTTTACCTTCTTCAGAGCTGGATTGATTCGACTTAGTTGTCCACAGTCGTCCCTTCTTCCGATGTGGGTGTCTTCGTGATCGCATCGAGTCGAGTCCAGTGGAGCACCACTCGAATGAAGTAACCTCATTCGGCAACCTTCTTTTATAGAGGACGGTTGTTGATAGTGATTTTCCGTTGATAATTGTTTGTTCTCAGGCCAGAGCGTCCTGAGAAGTTGGTGTCATAATCAGCCATCAAAGATTTTCTTATTAAACCATATTATTTCATGTAGCAATTCCCGGGACCGACTTTCTGTTAACCTCGGCACTGATTGATAATTCGATGTTTTTCTTTAATAAGCTGACACGAGGTTCTTATTACAGAATTTATTAGGATACAATAGCTGACGTTTCAGCGGTTTCGCATTCTTCAGACCCTGGAATGCTCAAATTGGGATGCGATCTACTCAGCCAAACACTTTCATAACCATACCAGATAAAACTTAACAAATAAATATGCATTGGTATAAGAAACAGCTTCATTTAAACACCTACCGTTTATTTGTTGTAAGTATTTGAGTTAGTTGATGGATAGCAGCCGCACAGAATACGTGGGCGATAACTGTGTCTGTGTCAGGTCATTGGATTAGCCTGAGGTATCGCGCCAGGTCATGCGTGATGACAATACAGTCCTTGCGGTTCATTTTTGAATTTTTGGAATTAATCCAAAACGCTTCAAGAGTTTTACACGTGGTTTTAATTTAGATTTACCGACTAGGTGTTCTTTTATGCGGACGCAGAGCGGTCTACCCGTTTCGCCAACGTATTCGTCCCTGCACGCTTTACAAGAAATCTGATAGACTGTACCTGAACTCATACAATCACTATCTACTGTTAGAGCAAATTATGCAGTTTTTCGTTTACATAGACGGTCATATAGGCCGTTGCGAACTAGCTGGCGTCTTGGAGTGTCCGATGTTATTTCTATCAGCTCGAAAGACCTACTTTCTATAAACCTCGGCATAGATAGTTGATATATTTATTTATGTGATCTTATAAACTGATCTTCTTAAGCTGACGCGAGGTTGGTACAGATCTTCGTTGTCGTTGTCGTTGTTTTTGATGTTATTGATCGATGGCTGACGTTTCGGCGACTTCGCCTTCCTCAGAGCCGTGATGTTACGTGCGTTATTTCTATCACTTTTACGGAATTCTCTAGACCGGCCCTTATTAAGTAATGTTTTATAGCTGCACTTACCCTTTATTTCAAACGAATTAGGTGCAGACTCACGGCACCCACGCATACTGGAGACCTGTTCTTTAATGCTAAAGGTTTTTGAAATACGTTTAGTACCAGTTGTAAATTCTTCACTGTGCGCTTTTTTTGCGGTGAAGTGTTGTCTTTTCATCGTGCAACTAAGTAGATTTCGTATTTGTTTGTATTATTGTTTGGTGCTCAAGGACACGTGTTGCGCAGTGATCGGAGGCGCCCTGCAACACTTGGGATCGATGTCCGCGTCCCTGGTCCACTAAGCCTCCCATATCTTTGGAAACGACAAATTGGTACTAGACTTATCTGAGAAGATAACACCACTGGCTCCGTACATCAGTAGGCCGCCGCGAGTCATTGCTTAGGCCATACATGCATTCAGTCATTTCCAAACGATGCTTAATGAAATCGTATACATGGTGCATTCTTCAGGGATTGATCAGCGCCGACAGATTAGGGTTTTTTTATAGTACTTACCAATGAAAAGTGTTTTAAGGTTCGCGTCCTTGAAAACTATGGAGAATTTGAGACGTCGGATGGGAATTTGGTTATGCTGCAGGTGAATTCTATGGTATGTGTAATTACTTTTATTTCAAATACTTTCCTGAAGCAGGGTTTCAGTTGTTCATCTGACTTACCTTATATGGTCTACTATGTAACTTTAAACGTACTGAAATATTTATGAAAGGGTAAAAACTATCATCTTTGAGAGTGAGTGGTATAGTTCGAAACCTATTAAATCATGCAGGTGACGTTTTACATACAGGTGAATTATCACTAGACACAAATAACCAGTGGTTTTCGATGAAATCCTAGGTGATCCAGCCAGGCTTTGTTATTGTCTCTTTCTGTGTTATTAGAACTGAAGAAATGCTTAAGATGTGGTCCCATGGTGACCACAGTAACATACAGTGACATTGTTTTCTTATAGAAGTATTATGAAGTATGGAAAATGAATATGATGAAGTAGTTTATTGTTGTGAACGTCATGATTGGGATTTCAGCATTCTTTGCCGCGACATGACTGTGAGATGCTAATCAGACAGGGTATTCTGGAGATCGCCAGCTAGAATGTGGGTGCTGGAATTGTGACCGTTAGGCTCTGATTCACGTCCGTATAGTGCGGGCTTCGTCCTCCGGTATTCATAATTATTGATCGAATATTGATCAAAGATGTGTTGCAGTAATCGAAACTCTCTTAATATGAGGAATGTCGCGTCGTTCTGAAAGTTGTTATAAATTGATAACTGGTTGTGAAATAGCTCGTAAAGAGAGGTAACTACTAATGATCAGTCTTCGTAACCAAGTCTCACGTTCGTTAGGTTGAGTGGGAGTGATCTTTCGTTGTTGCTGTGGTGGCACATATTTAGTATATTCGTGTCCAAGTGAACTGAAACTTCTAAGATAACCTGAATAATCAGAGGAGTGAAATGTGCGCTATCTTAAGTTATTATGCCGATGTTGACAAGAGTTGAATGATCTTAAAAGCTAGAAAATATTTGAACAGGCTTACCGTCGCAAATTCTGGTTTGCAAATGTGTGTCGATTCTGAACCATAGCTCTTGTGTCGTCTGAATCGACGCTCCTATGCTTTTGTAGCCTGGAGCCATGGCCACCCAGGGGTTTCTGTTTGCTAAGATATTTTGTTTATTTTCCTGTTATTAGCGTGTGAAGGCGTACCATGAACAGTTCGTTAAGCCAGCTTAGTTGCAATAAAAGACTATGGTAAAGTTAGATTACGAAGCAACGAGGTTTTCAAATTTTCCTGATAGCTTCATTACCGACGCGTTTCCAACCTAAACGAATGATGAGTTTTTGAATCTGTCGTTATGATTTTTAGGAAACTGTGGACAATAGAGAAAATGTTGTAACTCTGTGAGTATATAGTACTAAATCCGTCGATTAATTCATGAATTTTTTAAAGTCCGAGGCGTTAAACAAGGATGCTAGGAAACTCTATGTGTAGTTCTTAAGGGACCCAGAGAGACAAGGTTCCTGCATTTCAAGGTCAGTAACTTCCCTAAGTTCAGATCAAACCACTTGTCAGCCGACACCATCAGTATCGATGCATTGTTATATGAACTGCGTACGCGGTCAACGTTCTCATCCATCACACAAATCTAGATCTCATCAATTTTCAAGTGGTTGGAATCTCCCGCCTACGATGCTTCGCATGTGGTTGAACTAATTCAACGACATGTGTCAGTAGTGTTGTTCATTCAACCTTGCTTCTAAGTCGTACTTAACAAAAACCAGTAAAGCGGTTGGCTTCCTGATAACGTTTTACACTCTTCTGAGGTGTCGACAGATTGGTACATTACTTGTCCTGGAGATTAGAAAAACACTGAGTTGATACATCGATAGGCTCTCGAAAGTGTCTCTCAATAGAGTCGAATGAAGGACACGTCGCTAAAGGGTTGATCCACGCGAAACGCTTTTTTCTTTACCATTTTATTTAAAACAACATCAGTAAATTCAACAGTTAAGGTGGTAGCACGAAGATCTTATCTAATTCTATATATGACACCTAATATTCTGTTTGCCAGTTTCTCTACTGCTCATCATCCTGGTTAAGTAAAATTGTAATACTAGGTGAACTAGAGCGTCTCTACTAGGGTATA